TGCCCGTCGTGTCCCCCATCCTGTGGTCTCGGTATGCTGCACACCGTGACGGATCGCGTTGCGTCGTGGTTCCACTGCGTTTAGGTTGTGGGCTTTGAAGGCTACTGTCCTCTGTCTCCTGGGTTTCCCCTGCGTCGAGTGCTGTTGGTGGTGCCCACGGCAACCGTCTGATGTGGATCCAGGGGGGAGAGGGGTTGTGTTCCTTTTGTGCCCCCGTGCACAGGTGGAGGCTTTCCGTCCGTCCGGGCGTGTTGGAAGCGTGGTGCATTCGTTTCTCTCTTCACCCTCGTTTCTCGATGGAAAGATGAGGCTGTGCACTTCGCTGTCGGTATGTTTTGGGTGGGCGGTGGCATCCGGCTGTGGGCCGAAGCTGTCGGTGGTTCCTTCGCGCGCGCCGTTGTTCGGGGAGTGTGGTTAACTTGTGATCTCTGGGTGTGGTGTGGGCGGGTGCTGTTCGCAGCCAATCTCTTGGGCGGGTGCGGCGGGCTGTGTTGGATTGTGCGGTACCTTGCCGTTGGAGATGGCCTACGAAGGGAAGTTCACCTGCAATTCAAACAGTCGGACTTCGCGACGTCTCGACAGCTCATTGCATGTTCCACGATTGTTCGACGTTCTTTTGTTAGGCTGTCTGGCGTGACGTGCCTACGTGCGCCTCGGCCATCGCTCCTTGCGGCTGCTCGTCAGACCTGCTACCTGGTTGATCCTGCCAGTAGTCATATGCTTGTCTCAAAGACTAAGCCATGCATGTCTAAGTGTGAACACTTTGCACTGTGAAACTGTGCCTTCTCAGGACCGAGTAAGATTAATGTCTCCGGATCCGTTGCGGGGTGCAAGCGAGGAGATTCGGGATGAGGAGCCAGAGCCGCGTACGGAAGGAAGAAATCGGGACTCGAGGGAGGGGGATCCATTCAATGGTAGGTTACACATGCAGCTGTTGGATGGGGTGTTGAAGGACTTGCTTTCAGAAGGAAGGTTGTATTTGGTTCCTTTGGTGTTCATGGAGAGTGCGTCGATTCTGCACGTGCTCACTGTTTCGGCTTCGGCAGGGGTACATAATGCCCGTTTTCCAGTGGTTGCTCTTTCCGCTATGCCGAATCAGCAACGTGCCCTCACGGTGGCCCGGGAATGGGTGGGCTCCTCGGCTGAATTGGCCATGGTTCCTGGAACTTCGGCCATCCGCTTGTTGGCTCCTACGAATCATGGTTTTTCGATAGGTTTATACTGTTTTTTTGTGAGAGCCAAGTTTGAACAGTTGCAGAGTAAAGTCCCGTTCGCCCCCACCTTCGGGTGGCGGAACTTCGCGCTGGTACTGGACTTTGCGGAGGCGGAGGTACATGCAGTGGTCACCGCTATGTCTGCCCCCTTGGGGATTCTTACGGACCTTGATAAGCGCATGCCGGTAGCCAAGAGGTTCTCCAGCACCAGATTCTGGTACTGTATTGACGAGTGGCTGTATGGCCCGCAGCGGAGAGTGCAGCCGCCCCGGGGGGCCGCCTCGGGGACAGCCTCACAGGCCACGGGTCAGACGGGGCCCTCCAAAAGGCAGAATGGTCCGGTGGTTCCGCGAAGGAGGTCGAGGGTTTCGGTGAGGGTATCTAGCTCGGGCCGGTCCCGGGGGAGCAGACGTTAACTGTTGTGTCATTATGGTGACATTCTATCAGTGAGCCCAGGCGAGGGAAGTCCATCGCATGGTCGCGGTTAAAGGGTAGAGGTCGCCCCCGTCACTTCAATTAATATTGATATTCATGTTCAGAGTAGGCTCCTTGAATGTTAGGGGTCTGGGTCAACGGTCAATGATGTCTAAGGCGAAAGAAGTAAGAAGATTAGTCCATAAATCTAGATTATCAGTAATCTGTCTCCAGGAGACCAAGATCTCGGAATCTAGGTTAAGGGGTGGTAGCCTGTCGCTCCCGGAGTTTGGGTTTGGAGGAGCTTTTCACTTGTGGGCTCCGGCTCAGGGGACCAGAGGAGGGGTGGCTGTGATCCTCACAAAGTTTTTCACAGGTAAGGTACTGGAATTTTTTTGGGATACGTTGGGGACGTGGGCATGGGTGTATATCGAGGAAGGGGGAAAGAGATTGTTGATTGTGACCGTGTATGCCCCGGTGGACATCACGGACCGTAAATGGTTTTGGAGAAATTTTACAGCCTGCCTCCCTGACTCGGATCGTGTGATTGTGATAGGGGACTTTAACACGGTAATCCGCTCGGGTAGAGACTCGTTAGTGCCAGGGGACCCGAAGCCGGATGCAGAAGCGTTGTGTGGGGTAATGGCCGATATGGCCTTGGTGGATGCCTTTCGAAGGTTTAACCCTGAGGAGAAATGCTTTACTTGGTTCGGGGCCTCACCCCTCCTGCGCAGCAGGCTTGACATGGCCTGGGTTTCTTCGGATCTGCTGCCGAACCTTCAGAGCTTTGATCAGCAGCTGGTTCCGATTTCAGACCATAAGTTCATCATGGTATCGCTCGCATTGCACCCCCAGGTGGTCAGAAGGCCGCCTCCGATGGCAGCCCCGGTGTGGCTGTTGTCTGAGTCACTTGGTAAAGATCTGGTGAAGCAACATTGGGAGCTCTGGCTTGCAGCACGCCCGGAGCGTAAGCCGCTTTTAGACCATTTTCAGCAGGGGGTCCGGGCTTTGGCGGCAAACATGAAAAAAAGAGTTAAGGCATCCAGGCCGGCGCATGACCGTACAGGCCAAGAGTACCTCCTGCGGATGGAAGCCTTGGGGGAGGTGCCGCCGACAGGCTCGGAGGATGTGGTGGGCGGAGTGGGTTCTGCTACACTCAGAGTGGGCGGATTGGCAGGCCCGGGATGCAGACCTCTGGGGATTAGCGTCCAAGACTAAGTGGATGCGGGATGCTGAACGGATGTCCAAGGTTTTCTTTGCCCAGATGAAGAGGTCATCTCACTCCCCCTTGATTGTTTCTATGGGACATYCTTTTGATCCGTTGGAACCAAGGGCGGATAGTACCTCAGATATCCTCAGGTACGTGGAATTGTTCTATGGCGATTTGTATCGCGAGGATGAGAACTGGTCAGTTGAGGACATGGCTTCTTTACCCATGAATGACGTATGGTCAAAGTGYGCCACCTTTGTCACACCGGATCATAGGGCGGCTCTGGACGCGCCTATCACACAAGAGGAAGTAGCAGAGGCGATGGGTGGGATGCACAGGGGTAAGGCTCTAGGTCCGGATGGTCTGCCGGCGGAATATCTGTTGGTTGCTTAGCAGATCCTCCTTCCTTACTTGTGCATTGCCTTTAATCGCTTGTTCTCAGGAGAAGAAGCTCCCCCGACCAATTTTGGACAGGCCGCGATCATTCTCTTGTATAAGAAAGGGGATGTGGAAGAAGTTAGGAATTCGCAGCCCATCTCTCTGCTATCGGCGCCATATAAGATATATGCGAAAGTATTGGCCAACAGGGTCGCTCGTGTTTTGCCATCTCTTGTCCACCCGACACAGACGGGGTTCGTGGTTAGAAGACAGATTCTGGTAAATGTCCTTTTGGTTCGACAGATCATGGAAAGGGCGCGATGTTCCCAGCCCCTTTTGGTTACTCTGTTTTTGGACTTCGAAAAGGCCTACGACATGGTTAGATGGCCTTTTCTTCTGCAGGGCATGAGACATAGAGGGGTGGGGGAGGGCTTTGTTAAGGCAGTTGAAGTGGTTTTGGGGATGGCTGAAGCCAGAGTTCAGATTAATGGTTTTTTGTCCTCCCCTCTGAGGATCACGCGCTCTGTAAGGCAAGGTTGTCCCCTTTCTACTGCACTGTACATTCTGTACGTTGAGCACCTACATGAAATGATCCGGGCAAATGACCAGATTTTTGGGTTCGAGTTACCTGGGGGGGAGCAGGTGAAATCTAATGCGTTCGCAGACGATACTGCTGCGATGTCCCAGTTGACAAACGATAGCGTCTCGGCCTTACGTAGTGAAGTGTCCCTGTTTGAGAAATATGCGGGGGCACGGGTAAACTGGGGGAAATCTGTGGCGGTGGTCCCGGACGGTGCTGATATCGCAATATTTCAAGGCATGAGGACTCAGTCAACTGAGGAACAGTTCCTGTACCTAGGCATCCAGATCCCTGCGGCATTATCTTCAGGGGATCAGTTAGAGGATCTCCTTCATCGCGCAGTGACGCGAATGACGGCTTGGGCCAAACGCGCAACGCATGGGGTATTTGGTAAGGTTCTCATTGCTAACAACGCGATTTCCGCAACGTTATGGTATGCGGGAGCGGTATCGGACCCTCCTAAGCGGGCGTGGAAAGGCTACAAGGGCGCCCTTAGGAAATTTCTATGGAAGGATGACCCTTGCACTTCGCATCTTATCTATAGGGTGCGATGGGAGAAATTGGTGCAGCCAAGATCGGCTGGGGGCCTGGGGTTGTTGGACCCTCGAGTGCAGGTTGCTGCCCTGCAAATGCGCTCTGTTCTGTGGCCCCTTTTAGAGGATGATGCGGAGCCTTGGAAGGTTGTTACATTACAAGAGTTGGCGGAAGCGATCAGGGTGCATCCGGCGGACGTTGAAACGACCCTTCTCCACCCTTAACTTTTATATGGCCTCCGTCGGGAGGCGCTGTGGTCATGTACCCTGGAAAAGTGGCGTGAAGCGCCCCTAAGGTAGTTGGCCCCGCGGACGGGTGATCAGATCCTCGGGCAGTCCTTGTTTGGCAACCGGTTCATACTACAGATGGGGTGTACCGGGTTGTTGATATTTGGGACGTGTTCAGGGGTACATGGAGGGAGGAGGGGGAGGTGCTGCGACAATTGGATCACCAGCCAAACAAGAAGGAAAGGCTGGATGCGATCAAACAAGCGATCCCGCCGAAATGGGTGGATTGCCTCGTATCCAAAAACCGCACCCGGGGGGAATGGGTAACGTTGGAAGGGCAGGACCGGCCGGTTATTTTCTTTCAGTTAAGAGAGAAGGTGGGGTCTCAGTGGTACACGACAGAGGCGTGGGAGGATGTTGGACCACAAATGGTCTTGGGGGAGCCCCTAGTTCGGCGGCCAGGTCGGGATGGTAGAGTTCATGAAAGCACTATAAGATCGGTTGTGGTGGTGAGGGACCAGTCAGTATCTTCGGGGGGGGCTTTCCGACCTTTCAAGCCGGCTTTGAGGCCACTCCAACTCCCTTGGGATCCTTCGGTGTGGGAGTGGGCACCCAAAAACTCCCTCAGGAAGGGTTGCAGGATTCACCAGGTGTCCACGAAGGTGATTTACAGGCCCCCGCTTGTCCCGACGGATATGGTTGACGAAATGCGAGGGAGGTGGGCGAAACGGGGTTGGTTGGACCAGAAGGCTCTTCAGTCCTGGGATGGGCCCACATAGCATAAAGCCTGTAAGGTACTGTCCTTCCTCCCAGATCAAAAGCACGCGGGAAGATTGTGGCTCTGTCTCCAGCTGGCACAGCCTGCTTACCAATGGTTGGCGGATAGATGCTCGCACAAGGACAGGGCGTGTAGGGAATGCCAGATTGAGGAATCTCTGCCTCACATATGGGTGGAGTGTCCACCGCAGAAGCTCTTCTGGGAATGGTGGGACTCGTTGGGAGAGGCGGTCCCACTGGCAGGTGTCAACAGGAGAAATTCCTCTGTTCTAGTAGGGGCGTTGTTGGCGGGCGATGCAACGAGTGTGCGTGCGGCCTACGCGGCGGATGTGGTTCGGGCAGCCTTTTGGGCTGCGGTATGGGCCATGAGGGCCCGTCTGCTGCGAGAAGGGGTGTCTCCATTGTTCCAGACGCTCCGAGCTTGGATGGTGCGGAATTTGAGGACGGCGGTCTCTGCAGATGTAGCCAAGATGGTGCGGAATTTGAGGACGGCGGTCTCTGCAGATGTAGCCAAGAGACTAAGGGGAGGTTGGTCCTTTTTTGTCAAGGCCTGGAGGCCTTACCATGGGATTATTACGGTGGGGGACCAGGTTGGGGAATGGTCTTGGGTGCTCTCATGGGAAGAGGGGTGTTAGCCTTTTTACCTTTTTTGTTTTTCACTTATTTATTTGCCAATGGGATGGGTGGGTCTCGCGGGTAAGATTGGGGTAGGAGGGGAGGGAGGGAGGGGAAGGGGGGGGGGGGGGGGGGGGGGGGGGG